AGTATCGCGTTGAACCATCCAATATAGCCAAATTGGATGTAAAAAGTTAAAAAACATCATGCGAATACCGAGTCGGACATAATATATTACTAGGTATTCTCTAAGGGTATGTTTTTTACCTGGTATTTAATGAAATCCAAAATGTTCACCGAATAATAACTAATAATAATTAATCAAGTAAAATTATACTTTACAAAAAAGCAAAACTTTAATTAATGACATTGATTGAAATCAATAGAAAAAATGTCGGTTATAGTTTTTAGTGTACATAATTTAACAGTTGAAAAAACATAACCCAAATACAATCATCAGGTAACTTATTATTAGTTAACTTTATTTATAAAAATATTTTTTCCGATGGAAATCGGTAATCGCATAGATAATATTATTGGGAAATATACAAAGCGATAGATTTATAAGCAGCTAAGAAAAATCACTGGGTTCGGTTCTTTTAAAAAATGTAGAAATAAAAGTAAGGTCAAAAGATTTTGTTTTTGACTATTATTGTTTTACGTGCATACAATGTATTTCAAAACAACGTTGATAAATATTGATATTAATGTGTGTGTTAAATTTGTGTATTTAACTATATTGTTTTATTTGTGTTGTTTATAAATGACAGAAAAAAAGTAACTCTTGCATTATCAAAAAATGCATTTTTCTCGATGCAATACAAATGAGTTCCGATTTTTTCAAACAAAGAAAACCGTCCGAAAGAAACACACTGCGTTGGTACATACGAATTTAATATGTGTACCACACATAAATATATATATATATATATATATATATATATATTCGTATATTAAGTACGTATGTCCCCGTCGACGACGTCATCTCGTTCTCTTTTACCCGACGGTGGCGATAATGACTATTATACTCGCGCGCGCGCGGATGATAAAATTTAAACGGCCGGGGCGCGCGGAGAACGCGAAAAGGGAACGGTCGGCGACGGCGGAGCGGGGAAACTTAATTTCAGCGGCAAAACTCTGAAAATCGTCTCATTTTATAGTTTTCGCAACCTATAAATTTTATATCCCCCACCCCTCTCCGGGCACCTCCATCGTCATTGCCACGACCGACCCCGTGGAGGAAAACAAAAACAAAAAAAAAAAAAAAATATAAAAGGAATAAACCTATATATATGTATATACACTAGGAGATCGGCGCTGCTGCAGCTGCATGTTATGTATACGGTCGCGCGTCGTACGCACACGCCGTATCTTTATTGAAAAACAGAAAACGGCACCCCCAGAAAAATGCGGCCCTCTCGCACGGCTCGTAAACGGCTTTTGTACTTTATGATCGACACATAAAAACGACTTTATTGCCGGCGCTGCCCGGGGGTAGAGCCACTCGCCCTTACCCGCTGCAGTTTATCTGCGGAATAATAACGATAATAATCTCGCGCACGCCGCCGAAACTTTTACTCGCACACCGCACAAACCGACTCTTCCGCAACGAAAGCCTGCACCGCATTGCACGGCGCATATAATTTGCTGCGGTCCCAGTCCCACGTATATGTTCGTGTCGAGCTTCCCGATTTCACGACAGTATTACGCTAAGAGCATTCCCATTCGAACTTCAAATGGAAGAGTGCTCTCGCTTGATTCGTTTTACCGACACCGAGTGTGTGCTATTTTCGAAAACAAATATCCGTACAATGTACACATTTTATACATAAAATTGAGTTCAATTATGGTTTTCGAACTTATTTGCGATGCTTCAAGTGACTCACGTCCTTACGATCCGTTCTACAGTAATACATGCATTGCCGTGTCTTGGAGATTTCAAGTGACGGATAATTCCTCTAAACGCTCTCTGCGTATTATGTACACGAAATATAATGAAATTGTCGGACAATTTTTTGTGGATATCATGGAGTTTCCCTTTTAAGAATCGTAATTGGTTTGGACTCTTATGGAATTAAAATGCCAGTTTTTCGATAGATAAACTATTCATTGCCATGCTTTAATACCATAACGTAAAAGTTTTGCTTTCAGTGGATTAAACGCGGTTAATAATTGTTTGTATAATTGATTGAAGAAAATTTGTGTATTATTTTTCGACCTAGCTGGTTAATACATCTTACTAGAAAATTAGCTTAATTAGCCATGCAAAAAATGAGAAATTATTACAGTATGAAACAAAGCGATTGGTAGGTTGTAAGTTCAACAACTATTTTTGATGACATTTGCAATTATACTTTTTGTGTTATAAAAAAATAAAATTTTTATAACATGCGTTTACGCGTTTTGTGTATACCAGTGCCAAGAAAGTTTTTCTCATGAGAGATTTTAATTTTTCCTACTTATTTAATTTTTTATTTTTATTCCTTGGTAATAGGTGAAATAACATTTATTACGTGTAAATGCATATTAGATAGAATTTTTCAACAAAAACGCGTCTTCCGATTGAATACTAAACATTTAATTTTAAATTCTAATATAAAAATCAGATATTTCACGGGTGACAGACTACCGTAACTCCACGATATCGCTGTGTATATAATGTTTTATGAAGCAGTGAAACACTTTTTCAGAAAATTACAATTTACGTGATGAATTTTATTTTTGAACGACGAAAGGTATCCTATGCGATTACCTTATGAATAAATAAAGCTTGCATAATACTATGGAATACGTATAAATAAAGGATTTCTATGATCTGCTTTTTTTTAAAGCTTACGAATAAAATAAAAAACAAATGTTAAATCATGTACTGTTTTATAAATCGAATACATATTAAGACATTTGAAACCTAATAAAATGCGTTTTAATAAGCAAAATAACAAAATTCCTAGTTGTAATCCTATACTGTATAATTACATTTACCTTCAAACAATTACAAGTATTGTAACAAAATACTTTCCCGCAATACCAAACCTCATCCAATATTTCCATACTAATTTTGTATAATAAAATCACCGATGAATATGTCAAACTATAGGTAGTATTTTTTTTTTTTTATATGTATATATAATGACCATAATATAGTATTTAAATAACCACTATGGTGTTTACTTTAATTTTTAATTTTTACCCATTACCGTTCATGTTGCTCAATGTATTATTTATTTGATTACACAAATTGTTAAAAATAATATTATAATTAATTTCATTATAATTTTTATATTTTTTAAATGTTTAATAAAAAAATTCTCGATTGAATCTTAGTATTTAGTAAAATGTATTTATTGTGGTCGCAATGTATAAATGCATTTTTAAATTTTTATGTTAAAATGTACTTCGGGATCTAATAAATTTTAAATAACAATAAATAACCAACGTAAAAAATACAATTAATAAATTTAACTATTAAAATGTTCGGTTAAAAGTTTTGCTATTCTAATACTTTAAATTAAAACGAGTTAGGTATTATATTTTAATTAATTTTTAAATCAAAGTTGATATGTATCAATACATTTTTTATTAACTTTCACTTGCAATTTCTAAAAATTCCTATTTATAAAATTATTAAATGAATAAAAATATATTATTAGTGTATGCTTATAATTATAATTTAAATGATATAAAATTTATCAATTTTGGTTATCTTTTTCGATGTTTATAATAGTATAGTACATATATTATGACTTTCAAGTTTGTTATTATATTTAATTATAATAAATAGTATACCCATTTTTTATAGTTATTACCAAGATATAAATAAACCAAAAAAACAAAATTTACACGCATAAAACGTAATTGGTGTGCATCTAAAAGATACTATTTAGATCGTTTAAAATCTCTTATATCTTATATAAAGCAAAGAAACATACTCACAGAAAACTATAATCCACATTGCTTGTTTATAAAAGGGATTAAAAGAGGTCATTTCCCGTAATGGCCAATAAAGGAAACGTTTCACCTAGCTATTTGTGTATCAGTTTGGCTATTCAACCAGAAAATTAAAAATGTATTCATTGGTTTATTTTATGAGCCGTACTAAACCATATGGCTTGGAAATGTCCAATGCATTTTTACTGGTTTTAAATGTTGTATTGGTTTTAAACGTTTAAATAGTATACTTTTATTGTGTTTCCCCTAAAGTTTATTTATATGAGGTTTTTTTTTTATATTTGATGAAATCCTTTTTAAAATAATAGTCTTAAATATTGTCTTACAATTTAATTTCAAGTTTGAAATTTAATAAAAGCTTGATTTGATTGAAAATCGATTGTAAAAGTTCTTATTTATCCACATATTAACGTATGCTTGTTATTAAATAATAATTAAATATTAAATAAAATTATTTTTGCATTACACTGCAATGTAATTCAAAAACTATTCTTTACGTTTAACTGAAACATTGTATCATAACCAGTGATAGCTATAATATCGTAGAATAAAAAAAATTTCGTTTATGTTACATACGAACAGTTGTTTTCGTCTGAATTGAATAAATATTTTTCTTTTTAACAAAATAAGAAAAACACGTTTATTAAATTAACAATATATATATATATATATATATATATATATGTATATACCATATTATAGTATGCACTCGTATAATATACCTAAGCGATATTTATAATAATAATAACTTATTCGTTCGATAAAACATTTAATCGCGTTAATTAATTAAGAACATGCACGAGCTATTACTGGTCTTAATACTTCCGCGGCCTTAATAACGGAACACCGTTAAACATTCTTAGAGCGCTGAACTGTAAACGAAATCGGTTAAACGCGTTCGAACACGTTTAAACACGATCGAAACACATAGCGAGCTCAATCGAAATATTATAACGCGTGGACGTTCGGAGCTGTGCGTCTTCCGTTCATTTACTCGGACCGTAAGACGTTCGAACGTCGGTAAGCGCGTTGCGCGCGAGATCGAACACGGTAACCGTTCCCGGGCGGGTGTTGAACGTCGCGCGCGACAGGCGGGACGTCCGTCGCGCACGTTTCAGAAAAAAAAAAAAAAACCCCCGTAGCCGAAGCGTAGGAAAACGGGCGAACAATGAACACGGGAAAACCGTGAAAACAACGTACCACCAGTTGGCCCTCGCGACGTTGAACAGAACGACCGCGACGACGATCCGTCCGAGTGTGTGCCGCATGTCCGCGTCTCCGGTTTTCCCTCGGCTGACGTGTACGGCGGCGGCGGCGGCGTGCGATGCGGACGGCCGGGAAGCGTTCAAACGCGAATGCTGTGCGGCCCGGCGTCCGGACGTGCGTTAAGTGTTGCTGACGACGAGCGCGTGCCGGCGGCGATTGATCCCGAACGTACCATTATACGGTTGGAACGCGAGCGGGCGGCGCGTGTTGTCCGCGGACCGTTTCGGCAGCCAAGACGACGGTCCGACCACACGGGGATGCTACTGGCGACTGAAACCGACTGGAATCGCTCGCGGCCATTGTTGCCGCTCCGTGTCGGCGGCCCTCGCGGCACCGCACGCGCCATGTGTGCACGACCGAAGTTCGCGCGGCCAAGAAGAACGCGCGAGACGTCTTCGCCGGAACGCGATACGGTTTTCTTTTTCTTTTTTTTTTTTTTTTTTCAAAAATATCTTTCATCCTCCCCCTTTTGCTTTTGCGGCGTGGTTCCCGTATACGGTGACCGTTTGCGGTTCTCGAGAACACACAAGGGGGAGGGGGAACGGCGAAAATATTTATCCCGTTTGTTTTTTCCTATTGCTTGATAGACGAGAAGTAATTTTAAGTTCCATAAGCTTTACACCACATCGGCGTAACATACAATTATAGGTATCGATAGACAAAATTATTTTTTATTCAAACATTTTTGTAAACAGTAAACTGTTTTGACATGAAATCATCGTCAAAACGATTTTTAGTAAACTGTTTGCTCGTTCGTATTTTTAGTTTTTACACGGCTCAAGGGGGAACGCCCCCCCCCCTGGTAAAACTGTCAATTCTCGTGACAAGTACACGATCGCGCAATGTTTTTTACGCCCTTGAGCATTTGGGTTCCTTTTACACTTGCGTACAAATACTTACACGATGCACGTGATGTGAACACGTGCACCGTATGAAATACGTTTAGATATATTTTGATCGTACATGATTTCCATGATTTTGATTTATTTTTTACAACGAGAGACTTTCAAGCTTTCCGTAAAATTGGAAACCTACTGTGTAGCCAAAATATTGATTTTTTAAACGATTTTTTCGCTTTACCGGTTAGTTTGCTGACAACGTACCTGTGCATATTTGAAAAACACTCAGGATCACTTAAATGCATCGAACCCTATTCGAATGAATTATTAATTAATACAATAATTCGTAGGTATAAAACAATGTGGAAACAAACGTATTTATTACTCCTTAATTTTCAAACGTGAAGACTCGAAAATCAATACTTTTATTAAAACTCAGTTAATTATTTTCGATATGCAATGGAGAAAAACATATTTTTTATGAACATTCACTACTTGGAGTCTACCTTCGAAACATTGTAGTATGCTAAAATTGGATTTGTTTTGTATAAAATATTCTGATGAACATTATTTTTTCAGGATATCTAAATAATTCCTATAGAAAATATTTAAACAAAGAACATTTTAATAATACATAGTATTGAAACGATTTGCATCGTATGGTCAAATGTGAATATTTTTTACGATAAATAATAGGTTACGACTATTTATTTATTATTACAAAAATGCATTTTTTATTTAGTTAATTTACAAATTATTGTTAAGACGAACTGTATCAATAAACAGATGAAAAACATAATTCAAACTAGAAATATCAAATACAAATCTTGACTGTTTGGTCTTTGAAATTTTTTTAATCCTAATTAATTAATCTGTGTAAATTAATTTAAGGCCGTACATTTTCAAAGTGTAAATAAAACAATGGAAAATTATTTTAGATGTGCCATAAATTTCATGGGTTTTTCGAAATACTTTGAAAGTATTTGAACTGTGACTGTGACCGTTAAGTCACTAAGATACATGAAAACAGAAAAACTTTGAAATGCCAACTGCATTATATTTCCGATCAATCAATGTCTTACTACTTATTGTTGTGCCCAGCACTGTTTCATTGACTATGTTGATCAACTTCGTCATTGCGTCCATTGTGGATTTACTTATGCGAAACCCGTATTGGTTATCCGCCAGTCCGTTTTCAGTAGACAAATGTTTTTCGATCCTCTAGTACATCAGGCTTTCGAAGAGTTTCCTAATTGTGTCAAGTAGGCATATCGGCCTGTATAATGACGCATGACCGATGTGCTTCAGTCCTTTGTAAAGAAGAACTAGCCTCGTGATTTTTTGTCTTGGGAAAAACATCAGTACATAAATATTTGTTATTGAATCTCATTTGGGATCCCGTCTGGGCTAGAGGATTTGCTAGTTGATAATATTTTAGCTGCTAATAGTTGTTTCCTTTTCGAGAAGCATGAGATCATGATGTTGTTTTTAAAACTACCTTCTTCAATTCATTACGATGCCCCACAATCTAGGAAATGGTCACTAGAACCTAATCCCTAGCATGACATCACTAGCACATAACACAACATCTTTTTAGTACCTAATATATACAACATCACCCCTAGTGCATAGCACCATATTCCTAGTATCTAACAATACCTCATTTTAGCTACTCACCCCTAGGACCTAGTAATTCACCCTTTAACACCTAACCTATAGCGCCTAGCATCACCTCCAAAACACTTAGTACCTAGTTCTATAGCACTTAGCTCCACCTCCCTACCATTCGGTTCTACCTCCATACCTCCTAATCATCCATATAATTTATAAAATAATAACGAGAATTGAAAAATAATTGATATGTATATATATATTATCTATCGTATGGTAATTGATATTTATATAAATAAATAAATAAATTCTTAGCCTCGAGCAGCAATTCTTAACTTGAAGCCATCTAGGCGTCCGCGATAATCATGTCGAGGGTCTGCGGCAGTCTTAACACACAACATGCGTCAATACGTAACAAAAGCACATTATTAAAATATTGTTGGATTATGATTATTGATTTTTTTTTTCATACATTTTCTTATTATATAATAGATAAATCATATCTTTATATTTATATATACATATTATACAATGTTCAAATACTTGTGTTTCAAGTATGACACCAACCATCGCATTAAGTTAATAAAAATTACATTTTAAAAATATTTAAAAAAAAAAGATACTAAAATAATTAAAATTAAATTAACTGAAAAAGGGTGTGTAATAAAATAATTATAAATATGTATGTTTTTCTATGTCTACTAATGTAATTTATTATATAAAATAATTATTATAATTTTGGTTTTCATATCATGAGATATTTTGTAAAAAAAAAATGTATTCGAAAAAAAAATTGGTAAGGGGGTCCGCAATTTCTAAAAATCTTTAATCAAAGGTCCATGATCTACAAAAGATTAAGAACCGCTGGCCAAGAGTAATTGATTGTAATTGATTTAATTACTGTACAATGTTATTTACATAACCGAGTATGGGTACTTGGAGAGCTCCTAGTGTCTTAAAATGATTTTTTAATCGAGATCAATATATTAATCAACTAAAAAACAAGTATTATTAAAATTAAAATGTTGATTTTTTTTTTAATGCTATGCAGGTCATCAGTGGCAGATTTAAGGGTGGGGTGGGGTGCTTGGGAGCTGAAGCATCCACCGTTCCGCATATTTTTATTAAACCGCCAAGTGGCGAATTTTTGGTACGAGCGCGTACCAGGACACGCGCTCAACAATGGCGGCGGTCGTCCGCGTGCCGTGGCATAGCGAACACCGGTCGGCGACTATACACAATTGTAAGGTACATGGGTTTTCCGATATTTCGCCGGTCTCGGTTTCCATGCATAGATCTATATTATCTATATAATATATTATGTATTATCTATATTATACTAGACAGAATATACCGAATTAAAAGCACAATGCATTGTTAACAGACAGCGGTGAAGCAAACTGATAAGTCAGTCGCTCGGTTGTCGAAATATTAATTTTTGTATATTATCTATGACAGGACATGATATTATGTAATGTAAGAGGCCTCGTATAATGTTAATTAATAATTATATGTTACATTGTTTATAATTTTTGTATTGCTTGGTTATATAATAAATCCAAAATATTTGCTCATTGCAAATCTGGTTTTCCTCAATGCTAAATTATTAATTTTTTTTGCCCATAAAAAAATCTTAGATTCGTCACTGCAGGTCATTAAGGCCTTTTACATGCTTCCACCAAACTTCTTCGTCTATTCCGGTCCACTGAAATGTTCTCCTTCATTCTGTCTATTCATCCCTGGCGATGTCTTCTTGTTGGATTTTTAACTAAGACATTTCTTGTACAACTTCATCAGTTTACCAAACATGACCAGCCAACACCATTTTGTCTTCAGGAATAATCTAATATTCAGCAAGCTGAATAACATTTCCAGATCTTAATTTTTTTTCTATCATATTCCACATTACTGAAAAAGGTCCGTATATTTTTTGTGGGATTTCCCTTTTGAAAGTAAATCATTTTTCTTCGTCTCCCTGCGTAGTGGACTCTTTTACGTACACTTCTATCGCGTGTAGAAAATATATTACTTAGGCATATTCGATTTGAATTTTTTTATTTATTATTTATTATTAAACAAGTACCTAGTTAATGTTACCATCTTTCATGGGCGTCCACTGGAGAAAAAGAGGGGCAGTCTCCTCGGATTTTCTATGTCTATTATACATTTATACATACAATATTATAATTGTTAATTTATTTTTTTAGCTGATCTCACTTCTCATGGATAAAATTTTACCACGGGAGAACGAATTCTGGGAATAATAATCAATGGGAATCATAATGGGAATCAGTGATATCACTAATTATAAACCTATCGATTTTACCTGTCCAGAGCTTCTCACTAAACGCCAGCTTCTCTCCAATATCTGTTCTTCCTTTAATATTCCATTTACCTTCCCACATATTTTCCAATTTCCTAATGCATTCCTTATTACTTCCATTGTTAACTTCTCCCTCTCAGAAGGCTTTTTACTTTAATTATGTTTATTATTTAACTTTTATTTCCAAGTTGTTTTATGTAGTAATTTTGTGTTTTTATTATAATCGCCGAGGCAAATATTTTATGCGCCTCTAAAAAAAAAAAAAAAACCTATCGATAACAATCACCGAGAAGAGAAGCACCGATCACACGCATCCCTCCCAGGATTTTTGATGATGATCGCACTTGTCATCTACTACTAAATATGATAATTAATTTTATTTAATAAGTAAAAAAATATATTTTCTACGGGCCCCGACTATACATTCTGTCCAGGGGGCACCACATACCAAAATTCGCCTTTGTATGATAGATGTCATTGCAAATGTTGTAGATGGGGGAGCCCACCGTGGAATACCTATGGCTGTGAAGACTGAATTATACATAAAATAAATTTAAAGATAAATAAATATGGTATTATGATTTCAGACAATAGTATTATTTATTTATACTTAATAATATATTTAACCAATGCTTTGGTACCAAGTGTTAGAAGCACTTAAGTATCTTCTAAATAAATGCTTAGTAACTATTAAAAAGAAGATTTGTAAAACTAACAGTAGGTACCTATATATTTGCCCATGCAGGTTAAAACAATTGTCGCTCGCTAAGACAATACCATAGAAAAGCATATTAAAGCAATGACAATACTGAGAACAAATATTTATTAACTAGGTACCTCCTTATGTCATAAGCGTACGCAAATATTATTGGCAGGGTAGTCATACATAACACATTATCATTTAATTATATTAACGAAAAATTTGAATAGGGTAACTTAATTAAACTTAATAATTATATTTTTTCAATAATCTTATACATGTATTTACCGTTTACGGACGTTTCGAAGTGGTTGAACATAATATGATTATTTTTCATTGTGATAACGTTGAATATTTTGGTGAGGTTGGGAAGGTTCACGGAGTAGTCAAGTGCCTACCGTGACTACCCGTGCACATCCTTATGATCTATGTACCAATAACGTGAACATCAAATAGTAAGCAAATTATAATATTGTAATTAAATTCCCGACACAAAAAAAATGTTTGCAAGTATTTAATAGTTAAATAGCGAATGATGGGTAGGTAATAAACGTTTAGCCAGCTGATCTCCAAACGTGACGACGCACATTAACAAAGGGGCATAGGGAATTCATATACGCGGAATACTATGTAAACGAAAGGGGCTAGAAACTAAACGATTAATAAAAATAAAACAGCTGTTGAGTTTTTTGTTAATAACTTTTATGGCTTATAAAATGTGTAATATATTTATTTTATTGTGACTTTTAATATTAAAAAGAAAGGGAGAAATATATTTGGTTTCACAATAATATGTTTTTATCCTGTTCAAATTAATTCACCATTCCAAATTATACAAGAACACGAAGTATTTTTGTCCCTTTGTTATACAGTCCATGAATATAATTTTTTTTTATAGATGAAATGTTTTAAAACAATGATGTTCTAAAAAGTGACAATTTGTTTTTTGGTTTCAAAATATACAATATAACTATTTAAACTGTATCCATAACGGTCTCTAATAAATTAATTGAAATGATAGAAACATTCTGTTTTTATCTTAAAAATATTTGAAATCACTTTGGCATTGTTACAGGATCAAATTTTATAAGTAAGTATTTATTTTTGTTAATTTATTTTAATTATTTTTATTTATTTATTAATTTTATGTTTAATATCTGTCGTTTCGAAAACTTATCAAATTTATTTAATTGGTTAACAAGAATGTTTTTATTTTTATATGTCAATATGTAATATATAATAAATATATACTCACCAGGTAAAAAATTTATTTGTTAAATTTAGAAAATTGTCTAGTATTTTTAAAAAATTTAAGTGTCCAAAATTGGTTTGGGTAAGAGATAAAATAGGTTTTTCATAAGAAAACATGAATGCGTCATGTTGTTGAAACTCAGTATAACATGGTGCAAGCAGAAAAATAAAAAAAAAACCTTAGAAGGAATAATTTGTATGGTTCGAATGCAACAGAAATCTATAAATCAATCCTTAACTAAAAAAATGTTACATTGAAAATACTTCTAGATTAATTTATCTTAAGTTATTTACAATAGAATTTAAAAACTGCCCCAAGTTTGGTCGTTTGATGGTACTTGTAATTATTTAAAAAATGAATTTGAATTCTAGTATATGTGTAAACTAATTCACTCAATGAAAAATATTAATGTATTTATAGAAAGATTAGGATGAATAAACTATGAAAAGCAAAAATACTATATTCATTTACCTAATTTATTTTTTATTTTTAACTGACCACTTTTACATAAAATATAACCAATTTAATATTTCATAAACAAAACTATGTAAAAAAATACATATTATCTCACCAAAGAATTATACAATAACTAGGATAACATAAATAAGTATTATTTCATCTAAACACCAATAATGAGAAAATATAAAAGCTATATAAATAACATTATTAAATAATACAAATTTGAAACAATTTTTTTAATTTTTCTTTTTTACTTTGATGAACAAAATCATATCTGAAAAAAATATAATAGTTATGATTAAATTATAAAATATATTGAAAGTTAATAATTAAAATAATACAATACATACTTATAAAAATTGCAACCATAGCAACAGCTAGAACCCATATCCAACATCTCCAAGTACTTTTTCTTACAAACTCCATTAACCGCTGTTCTTCTCGTTTTAAGTTTTCAAAATTAGCATCCATACCTTTTGATGATTTTTCTAGAATCTATCAAAGTAACTTAGGTAAAATCAATTAAATATATAAAATATATTAATAGTGTTTTTTAAAATTGCGTATACCATCAAAAATTAAAAGAACCATGTTTTTAGTATTAATATTTTCAAAAAAAAATTAAGAGTCAACTAGTATAAGATTGTATTTGACTATGGAAAAATAAATTATTTATACCTAATGGAAAATATCAAGACACCCTTTGAATATTAAATCTGTTTTTTTGTTTGTTTACAAACAATATGTTAAGTTTTTAACAAAACACTGTCGATAAATAAATTATATTATTACTTGAATGTCTTTTTTTATTATTTTTCCAGCAAGCTCAGAATGTTCTCTTAAACCTTGAGTAATAGCCATCAGTTCTTCAGTAATGGATTCTTGTTTATTTTGATGATGTTTCAATAATTCATCTAAATTATCATTACTATCCACTTCTGGTTGCCTCAATGATTTGAACTCATTTGTACTTTCTAAAGAAAATTGTATGTTATACATAGTTTGTACTTCATTAAAAATAAATTACTTTACCTCCGAATAATTCATCTCTCAGTTGTTTTGTATAAGTCACCTTATACTTGTGCTTGATATCTTTTGAAAGGCTATTAGGTACTTGCACTGGTTCCAACATATCTAAGGCTACTAATTTTTCTTCAGAATTTTCCTTAAAATATATACATATCATTTTTTTCTTTACATAATTATGATACAAAATTACAATTAAAATAATTAATTACAATTTCTTTAGTGTTCAAAAACCCTTTGAGAAACTGCATTCTTTTTGTGTACTGATTAAGTGTATCTTTGTTTGGATCGCTAAAGAGTACAACAAATATTGATATGATTTATAGGCTAACAATAAAAATTAGTACATTTTAATAAGTTTTACTAGTTACTATTTTTATTAACCTTTTTTTCACCAACTCTGAAATCATTTCACTAGCAGCTTCTATATACTAAAACAAAAATTAAACAACATAAATAAATCATATTAAGACTTAGATTTAAATTAATACACTAAAACAATATGTTCTTGAAAAACAAATTCCTAAACCATTTCATTACCTAATTTTAAATTTTGATTGCAATTAAAATTGTAAACAATAAATATATTATACCTTGCTCAATCGCCAATCATCAAATGAATTGTCTTGAGCCATATCTTCACAAACAGACAGAAGTCTTTTGATATCAATTTCCAATCTAGTAACATTCATTTCTGCGAGTATTTAATAACCAAGGAAAACAATTTTCCAAAATAAATGTCAACTAAATCGGGATGTAAAAAAAAATAGCTAACATAAGTTTATTTTAATTAATATATAAAAAAATGTTTAATAATTGAAGCCACGTCAGATTTTCCAATAAGTTGTACACTTAAATGAAGATTTTTAGTAAGTACGAACAAAAAATAGATTGCCAACTTTCACCCAATAGACTTATGGACTAGACTTCAAATGATTAGTTTACTGCAGTAGCTCGTATGGATCCTAAATTGCTAAAAAGCAAAAATATTACTTGAGTAAATATTAAATAAAAATAAAATATGTTTATAATCAAAATCTTCACGACCAGATCCCGATTAAAAATTAGGTAACTTTTGTCACATGAACCAACGGATTTAATCATTTCGTTGATTTCGATAGTTCCAAAACAAAACGTACCGTTGCCAATATGTTGTGAAATTTGGAACACCTACGGTCGTATTTCACACGATTCCGACGACGAGTCTGATACGTTTCTACGGTTGTTTACAGTTTTAGTATTCAAATTGATAAGAACCATGTGCACCGTATCTGCAGGTGAATATAGTTTCGCAACTCACGAGATTTTTTATTGTTTTATTTTGAATTTATTAAAACACAACAATGTGCGATTCGATTAAATTATCTATTTAAAATTTACTGTAATCGGTGCCGTTAAAACATCGAGATGAATGATTTAAGTAAAATGGACCTGGTCAAGTATTTCGATGACGAACGAAAAACCCTTCCTGTTGCTCTACAAAAGGATAAAATTTGCGCCTTGATTAAAAAATATGAAACGCTCATCATCATTGGTGAAACAGGAAGCGGTAAAACGACTCAGATCCCTCAGATCGTTTACGAAAACATATTACGACAGGACGAAGATGTAGTAGTTACCCAACCAAGGCGTGTGGCAGCGATATCGTTGGCCGAACGTGTGTCATTCGAAGTGAACACTGAAATTGGTGATTTGGTTGGTTATAGAGTCAGATTCATTGACAAGACCAATCACTTCACCAGAATAAAATTTATGACCGACGGTATGCTAATGCGTACAGCCATATTGGAAAAGAGTTTGTCAGCGTATGGATGTGTTATTCTTGATGAAGCTCATGAACGTACCGTGAATACAGATTTGCTTTTCGGCATTGTCAAAAAAGTCCAACGCTCTCGTAAACACAGTTCAAACCCTCTTAAAGTAATTGTCATGTCTGCAACTATGAATGCTGATTTATTTGCTGATTATTTTGGCAATGCTCAGATTGTCTACTTGCAGGGTAGGCTTCATGATATTAATATATTTCACGCAAAGAAAAATGTTGAGGATTATTTTCATGACACTTTAGTAACCATATTCCAGTTACACAAGGAGGCACCAGCACGTCATGACTTTTTAGTATTTCTTACTGGCCAAGAGGAAATAGAAAATATGGCCCTTGCTATTGAACATATTAATCAAGATCCTGCATTAAGAAATTATCCTGTCATAAAGGTACGGACATTATATGCATCTTTGCCTACCAATGAACAACTCAAGGTGTTTATGTCGTTAGAACCAAATGAATTTGCTAGAAAAATCATTCTGAGTACAAATATTGCAGAAACATCAGTTACATTAACTGGTATTAAATATGTGATTGATAGTGGTAAAGTCAAAGTTCGATGTTTTCATCCTGAAACTTCAATGGATGCCCTAAAGATTGAAAATATCTCTCAAGCTCAAGCTGAACAAAGAGCAGGTCGTGCTGGTCGTGAATCAGATGGCTTTTGTTATAGGATGTATTCGAAAAAACAATATGATGAAATGACCAAAGATCCTGTACCAGAAATTCAAAGATGTAATCTAGGTAATGTAGTTTTACAAATATTGGCCATGAATATGGATCCCCATAAATTTGACTTCATTAACAAGCCATCAACAAATGCAATTGATCAGGCTTATAAAATGTTAGGAAATCTAGGTGCCACAAAAAACAGTATTTTAACTGAAATGGGTCATAAAATGACTAAATTTCCTCTAGATCCAAGATACTCAAAAATAATATTATCATCAGTTAACTATGGTTGTTTGGAAGATATCATAAACATTGTATCCATACTCTCTACCGATTCTATTTTTGTATCTAGTCTATCAGAGAAAAAAAAGAAACAAGCTGAGGAAGCCCACTCAAAATTTAAATCATCTGTTAGTGATCATATTATGTTATTAAAAACTTTTCGTTCTTACAGAAAAGTAAGAAAAGAAGTAAAGTCCAATTGGTGTGACGACAATTTTCTTAATATCCGTAATTTAGAATACGCTGACCGTGCTCGTGATCAATTACTTGATATTTGTAGGTATTTACATTTACCAATTGGTCAATCTTGTGGTGAAAATTTTGATCTTATCAGGAAATGTCTGTTAACTGGATTTTTTGAAAATTTGGCATATATTAATCAGGAAAAAAAATATGTAACAGTTAACGCCAAGAAAGAATGTAAAATTCATCCAACCTCGACACTGTTTCATTCATATCCCCATTGTGTACTATATACAGAGATCATAGAGACTAGTCAGGCTTATATGAGGTATGTGACGGTGATTGACAAAGAATGGTTGTTGGACATTGTACCTAATTTTCACCAAAGACATAATTATCAAGTTTTAATGAACAGTGAAGTATAGTAGGATAAGCACTATTTTCTAGGGGTTTACCCTATAGTGTATATATTTGTAATAATAAAAATAATGGGACAAATGTCTATGCCTGTAAATTGATAAATTTGTTATTTTTGTAAATTATATATAGTGACAACATTTAACTTGTTTTTTTACTTTTTTCTACAATATACTATAAGTATAAACATTTTATTGAACTATGTTTATTTTTTATATTAGTTTTAACTGTATTCCTCTGCAACTGATGAAATTAACATTTATTATTGAGTATTATGAATTATTTTAAAAAGAATAAGTAAACAATTTTTTTTCTATTAGAAAGGCAAAGTAAAGATTTGGGTTTAAATTTCAAACCAAATTATCGGAAAATTTATATAAAAAAGGTAATATAGGATGTAAATACATTTTGTAATGTAAAGAGTTTAACATCTAAATAATCATATACTTGCAAATTTTACCAAAATTTGGTAATCGTTAAACTTATATAATTTACACAAAAAATAAAATTGTAAATTCATTTTATATATGTTACAGTATGATTGTAAATAAGATTTTGTTACTATACTAACAAATATTTTAACTATTTAAAATTTAATGACTGGCTTTGAATTTCAATATTACAACTAAATAATTATTAACATTATGTTTGTCAAAACATAACATCACAACATACTGAATCGCATAATTTATTTTTATTTTAATGTATAATTTATTTAGTGAAGTAATTTGATATTCACTTCATAAATAAAATGATTTCCTTCATAAACATTACATTTATAAATATGCATATATGACTTTCTATTTGTATCTGAAAGGAAACTAAAATAATAAAAAAAAAAAATGACATTGATTTAAATTTTAAATGGAAATTCCTCTATATTAGTATTATCTTCTTCTTCATTACTTAATGAAAATTCTTGGTCATAAATTTCCTTCTCAATTGATCTACTTCTTCTCCTACCTAAAGCTTTGGCTTCTTGAATTTTTCTTTTTTTTACAAAATCTGTAAATGACAAATATTGAGGTTCTGCAACACTTTCAATTTTGATATTTTTTTTATTTTGTTCATTATTAGATAGGCGATGAACAGCTTTAGCCTTTTGTATAGAAGCGTTCAACTAAAAACAATAAGACAAGTAACCATTATTTATATTTTTAAGATAATAAACTAAATATTAATATTATTTTATTTATCAGCAAAAAATTACCACCAAATATATTTTTAGCATTAAATTATTGAACATATATTATAAATAGGACATTAACAAATTTGCATTATTATTTATTTATCAAATATTCTACATATAATTAGGAGTAGGAAGGATGGATGGGTTATACCTATCAAAGTTGGAATCTGCGATTACATATGATAATAGCAGATTCCAGATAGCAAAAGACCTCATTTGAAATGGAAAAATGTGAAAAAGAGAGATGTAGAATCTCTAAATGGAAGCATAGATTAGAAAGTAAGAGTAATAGATAGAGAGAACGAATGATTGAGTATATAGAAGGTAGTCCCAACGACAGGTAACCACTAAAGAAGAACATAGTTATTTATTTTATCTAGTAATTCAAATTAAGAAGAAGTGTTAACACATTTTTAAATATTATCAAATAACTTTTAATAATAATTTTCAGAAACAATTAAGTTAACACTGTTAAAATATAGTAAATCAATTAATAACCATCTTACTCTAGTCATTATTGCACTATGATCAAGACCCATTACATCCATTTTCATTTCAGGAATTATATCATCTTCATAGCTCTCCTCTAAATTTTCATTTAACTCTAATTCTTTGATTTTTTCCTAAAATCAATTATAAATTTACAAAAGATTTACAAATTAATGTAACTTGACATTTTCTTTAATCTCTGGATCAATGCTGGTGAAAACTATAGAATGATTCTTCAATAACGCAGGACAAGTTGGTATAAAATCATCACCATAGTCTGCTTTATTTAATAGTCGATCAACTGCTGCAATATTTGAGTAGGTCTTATCTGAAATAGTAATATTGGTATAAATTCTTAATACTTTGTTTTATCAAATTTAGTTTTTAATATTGAAATTAATCAATCAATACCTTTGACAAATTGTATTTTTGGAATTTCTCCCATAATTCTTAATCTAGATAATTCATGTCTCAGTGGACCACTTATAGACTGTAATAGTTGCTCTAATTGGGAATCATCTTCGGATTTACTAGCCATCCAAAACACATTAACTGATCGATAATCCCCTGCAATAGTAACCTGTGATGAAAATATTAATAACAATCAATCAGTGGGTTTAAGGATTTGATGACAAACTACGGTTTCATACCTTTGATACTTCTAGACCAAACCCAATAAGTTTTTCCGACTGTTCACCAGTCGCCATGATGTCGGTAATATTTTTCATTATCAACTTGTTCAGTACATCCACTCGTTTGTTAGCCTGACGGCCTGCATTGTTTTTGGTCGTCTGTTTCATGAGCTCCTCAAAGGTAGGATTGGCTCCAACATTGGACTGGTACCATACTTTTCTGAAAAATAAAACCACAAAAACTGGTTACAGTCGATTGCACCATAGACATTATGCATGTCTCTCTCTCTCACTCTCTCTACAACTCTTCTACATCATGATATACCTAATAAACTTTTATTATATCATGGTCTACATAAGACCGCCAGATGAACTTACTTGGATTTTCGGGTGAGACCCATTACTTTGTTCATCATTCTCCCGTCCAACGACGACGCGTTGCATTTTAATATCGATTGTGAACAACGCAGCAGATTTTTAAACAGCGAGCCCGACGACGTGCAATGCGTTTGGTGAAACATATCGTACGGTCTCGGCGGTAAACGAGTGTCCAGTGAAATATCGTTCGTCACGGGCGTGCTGTCGAATTAGATTTTTCATTGAGCTTATGACATCATGACGAAACAATGCATAAGACAATTGTGTCACGATCACGAATATTCGTGAAAAAAATGTTGATGCCTCGGTTTTCAAAAATCCCGTACTCGCACATCGCGCGCGATAACTGTTATCGTCACTCGTCAGCTGGTGACTTGTCATCACGTTCAAAACTTACCCACCGAGGTCAACAATAATTATAATATTAATACGTACAAGGCTTTAAGATCGGCGAATATAGCGATTACCGAAGTTATTAATGGCAAAACAGTCATAAGATGGCAGTGCTACGTCTAAAGATAACGTGAAAGTACGAAAGCTTAGCGGGTTGTCGAAGACGAGTTTTTATATTAAAGTATTCACGTCCATTGACCGTCAAAAACAATTACTTCCATTGCAATGTATAACCATATTTATTGTCTGTTAAAAATATCAATTAGTCCACTGCGCAATTCATGATAGTTGTACAACATTTATGCTAATGAAGTATCAGAAACAATTTGATTTGTCAAAGTTTCTTGTATATTTAAAATAAATACTATAATTTAAAAGGGTTGTATGCTTAATGATAATGTTATTGATATTGTTCATAAAAATTAACACAAACAATAATGCACGTTCATAAAACAGTTTTTCTATGTAAACCTTAAGATTTTGTTTTAAAATTGATTCGTTTTTTTGTACTGTTTCATGAATTTGAATTGAATTAAGTGATATTAGAATGAACATTTTTTTCTAATCTAAAACAAGGCAAATAATCAATACTACGGGGATGTAAATAAAAAGATGTAAGAAAATAAATATAATAATCTGTATTTATCAATGCCAACAATTTTAATAAATAACAATATACCTAAACTGTTATTGAATTAATTAACAATTATATTTTTTTTTTAATAATTATAAATTTTAAATACAAATTCATTACAATCAGTTTTTATTTTATTTTATATCACATGTTTATTTAAACAATTCTTGCAACATATGAGTATTAAAAACCAAATAAACATTCCATCTATAAATATAATAGAACAGTAATAGGTAAAAGCATTTATTTTTGTAGTTTTTACATGTTCATGCATTATAGACAAATTATGCTTAGATTGTAAAATAAAAACCAATGTTTGTTATTTATTTTTATTAAAAGCATAATTTGGATATACTAAATAGTTGGAGAACTCTGAAATATCTGCAACCCCTCGAACTTCTTTTTCCAACAAAGGAAGTCTGGTAATATGGAAGTCAATATATAAATCATTTATCTGAAAAAAAAATATAAATACATATTATGTTTAAAACGGTTAGACAAATGATACCAAGAAATATTAGTTAACTGACTTGTTCAAGATAAGTCCGTTGCAATGCTCGCCTGGAAGCACATTTTTTACAATTGGGATCTGAATCTCCATTGTTTATGTACAACTGGTTGACAACAATATTATGGGTATCAATCTCATTTTTAGTTAATTCTTGAACAAGTCTTTCCGTTTCATACAGAGACAAAAATTCAGCAATGCATACACAAACAAAAGTTGTTTGATCCTAAAGCAAAATTATTTGTTAATCTATTTGGTAATCATGCCAATTTTACAATTACTTACAGGATTTTTGAATTGTTGATTTACAGTTTTAATGGTAGTCAACATTTCTTCAAGTTTTTGTGAAATATCATCAACATTGATACCAGCACCAAAAAGCATACTCATTTGAGTTAGATATGGGCCTACTCTGTTTTTCAATTCTAAAAGTTTTTCTATAGCTTTTTCCATCATCAGAGGAAATGTCAGAAGCCTCAGTGTATGTCCTGTAGGAGCTGTGTCAAACACAACTACTGAGAAGTTCATATTTTTAACCAATCTAAAATTAAACAAATAAATAGATAATATTATTTTTATGTTCAAATCTAATTAATAAGTTCAACGCCACTAATGACAATGCTTAGTTGTTCACTCTCAGTTGACCATTTAAGATATCAAATAAAAACCACGGATTGCAATAGACTACATCAAATGTTATTGACTATCCATCATTGAACATGTTAAAATTATTATTAGCATAGAACAATGTAAAAATAATAGTCAATTAAAGTCTCTAACTATTATAATTTTCCAATTCTAATGTTTCAAAGAAGTGAAAATATCTAAAATGATAATTTTATTTCTTCCTGTCACAAATTGTTTTGTGAGTATAAAACAAAGACCACTTCAAAACATTTTTAAAATTTGTAAAAATAAAAACTCATTTTCTTTTACATTAAAGGATAATTTTAAGTAAGATACAATTTCTGAAATAAGTAGATACCTTAAAAACGATGATGTAAAAATAGAAATCTGTAGCAAACTGAATTAAAAAATTTTCAAATTGCATATTTTTTTTGAGTTCCCCAATACATGATTATTAATTACAGTATTTTATAAAGAAAGCATATTAATTTTAACTATAGTAATTATGCTCTACAATAACCCAACAACTAGCTGTTATGGAAGATTATATTGTGTTACAAAAGCAGTAATGTTTTTGATATTTGTGCAAAAACTTACTTCATTACTTGAGCGTAACTCATTGATTCATCAATACCTGGAAATGCACCAATAATATCTTGAACGATACTCTTACCTAACCTCATTGTATCAGATTCTTCTCCGTCACCAAATAATTGTTCATTGTCATTATGTACATTTGGATCGACTTCCTGAGTAATAAAAATTAAAAACAATATTAGTGGACATAAATTTCTATGTTACTTCCAATTCTAAATAAAAAGTCAGTTATATATAATAAATGCTCAATACTAATATATAAGTAACTACTATGTCCAATATTTACTTACACTTGCTTTATCTACGGTTAAATAAAATACTAAGAATAATAACGAACACACAATGGTTTATTCAAAATGAAAACTTACATAAAGACCATCAAATTACAAAAATTCAAGATTATATAAGAATTTTCACAAAAAAATTATTTACTATTTTATTTTGGGCTGTTTTTTTCGTCAAAATTTATAGTTCTGCCCTGTTAAAGGAATATTTAGAATTGATCAATGATAATATTGATGAATTTGATGAAATATTAATACATCATTTTTTATGTACCTATTTTTGTTGTCTTAAATAGATATTTCTGATCTTTGGTGCTCCAATCATTTTTTTAGAAATATAAGGGCTTCACAAAAAAAAAAGTTTAAGAACAACGGTCTTAATATATAAGTTAGACCATAACTTTCTGAATAGTTACCATAGCAAATAAATTATTGAAACCATCAACTTTAGTGGGCGCCTTGGTAAATCTTTGTCCAAAAGCATCGGATATGTTGTGTGCTGGATCAGTGGATAGGAGAAGTACTGATTCACGCACTTTGGACAACTGAATGGCAAGACTGCAACTGAAATTAAACAATAACAGTTGACACACAGTAACATTAAAATCATCAAGTATTAGCCTTGCTGGTCTTGATTACCTGCAAGTGGTTTTACCAACACCTCCTTTGCCACCAACGAATATCCATTTCAAACTCTCTTGGCTGATCACGTTCTGTAGAGACGGTTCAAGTTGTTCCTCGTCAATATGATCGTTGCTATCCATAGTGATGATCAGCTAATTTGATAAAAATCATTACATGAAACACGGCGGAACATCAACCTCCGTAAAATAACAAAATATACATACCTTTATTGAAAGATTTTATTAAAAATATTGTAGTGAAACGTAATATGAACAACGCCTCAAGAGTGCACGAGTTGTACTGATGACGGATTTACGAGACTTCGATTTTCAACCTGAAAACGTCAATGGACGTTACAGTAGTCGACAACGGGTCGTTCGGTTTTCCGGTACATCGCCGCGTTTGGACAACGTCACGATTTCAGATGATAATTATTATTATATAATAATTAATTAATTTATAAAAATTATAATAAATTATTATTGTTACGATAGTAATTACACGTACGATGAATGCACACGTATGGTAATAAATAATACGAATCAAGTGTTACCGTTGCCGACGGGCAACGCCATCTGTGTGTCTAACACACCGGTGGTTGGATTACCATAATAAAGACCGATGACTATAAATATATCTATACAAGTATATATAGTAAAAATTACTGTATAAGGAAGATGACAGCGATTTGATTTCCATCTCGGTTTTCACTTGGGTGCTTTAGGTCAGGTGCGGACGCAAGAGGATTTAGGACTTGAAACCTCCCGAAGTATATAAAAAAAAAAATAAATATTCTAAAAATATGACTGACCTATAAATTTGATAGGTAGGTGGTTATTCAGTCTCCCATTAGACTTGCAAATAGCATTTGTAAATATATTAATTATATATTGGATGATAAACCATGCTTTTCATCAACGTTTTACACTTACAATTTTTTCAAACCCCCGCGAATATTTTCCCTGCGTTCACCCATGCCTACGGCTGATGAAAATCTTTAGGGAGAATTGAATCCAATGTTTTTAACGTACCCGGGCACAAAACCAGTCCGAAAACTCGACGCTCCGCTCTTTCTGAGATCGAGAGGAAATCAGATCAAGCCCAAGTCAGTTGTGTACATTACTACAGAGCATATTTTTACATATTAAGTACGTGGCGCTAGTGCCTCCCCCCCCCCGTGATAATTAAAAAGCTACCCAGTGGTAGGTGATCGTGCTGCTAACCAATATATTCTCATAACGACCGTAATGACAGGAGTTGATTTTCCCTGTATGTTCCTCTGATGGACAATTTTTTTGGTGAAGTGCCACCCAGTGAAAATTACTTGTTAATATGTTCTGCATTACTATGTGCTTGAAAGTCTTTATTTTTGATCGGACGTAACACAATATTACCTACAAACATTCCGGAATAGTTTATAAACTTCACACAGTGTAAACGAACACGTTTTTTGTCGTTTGTACACTACGACACCACACACACAACTTTAGGATCTAAATTATCGATACACGTGAAAAAATATGTAACTCACTGTAGTCATTTGGACATATAATCAAAGACTTTCAATATAATTCACATTTTCTACACTTCAATCATTTTAGATCATAGCAATAAACATATTCCCATTAGTTTATAATACTATATTTAGTATATTAATAAATCATCATTTTTCTAAATTTTGTTATTTCTTGTCCTATAAATAATGGGAACACAAAGCTATGAATATAAATATTAATAAATTATTTAAAAATTAACCAATTTGAGTTTAAGCACCAAGTTGTACTTTACGTTATACTAATTAAATTTGAAAGATATAAATACCATAATAAAGTATACTATTTGGTATAATCATAAAACAAATATATTTACATGAGACCCTTTAAATTATACACTATTTTTTATGTAAGTAATATGACCAATAATTGATAGTGTACTTTGTTCCAATGAAGAGGTGTATTGATTATAATCTAAATGTCTACATTTCATAACTATTAAATATGTTGTTAACCTTAGAATACTTAAAATCACCTAACAAAATATGGAGGTAAATTTTCAATAAGTAAATAACCAATTAGTTATTAATTATTACATAGTTTTATGACAAAATTAACTTTAATTGAAAAATCTTATCAGACAACATAGTATAATAAATAATGTATAATATTATGTAAAATGTATAATAATTTATTACATAATTATTTACTCTGTTTAACAAGAGTATTTATACCAACACAATACAAAATACAAGTGTTTTGACAAGAAGCAGTATCAATTGTTGATCAAAATATTCAAAGCATTTCGATTAGTTTAAGAAATAGTAGTAATTACAAGATTTTTTTTTTTTTTTCATTAATTAAATGTTAGGAAAAATAAAATAAAATATTAGTGCAAGATTGTAGCTTATTTATTTTCAGCTTGGGCCTGTTGTACTTTGATCTCTAATACTTCAGTAATAACATTCTGCAATTTCTGCTTTTCAATGCCAACTTGTTGAATGTTTTCCATTTGTTCCACCAGGAAGTTGACGCGTCTTTTAAAGTACTGTATGGCATCGTCTATTTCGAGTTTCAAATAGTACCCAGCGCCTATACACACTGTAACATGTTCAGGGTTGGCCAGCTGTCCGGCCGCATACATGGATTTGGTTAATGGAATCATCATGGACGTGCCAGACGGTCGTCCTTTGGTACTTTCCAGCGCTTCTTGTGAACTGATGTACCTTTTCTGTGCTATTTTCAACGACTGTAATGAGTCTTGGATCAAACTCACCTCTTTGAACAACTGTTCCTTCATTTTAGCCAACTGTTGGACATTCAACTTTTTAAGATCGATCAGTTGCGCCGCCATTGTTGCTGTGAGTGAGGGTTTATTAATTTGGAAACGAAAATAAATTCAAAACCGTGATCCAAGCCGAAAACAATTCGTTAAACGCGATTGTACAGTCGAAGAGGACAGGACTTCGATTGTACCACGGGAAAGAACTTCGAGAAAAGTGTTATCAATAAGCATTATCAGCCGACGAACATGTGCCGATTTGATAAGACAAGTTAGATAAATTCACAGTGCATGCAAAGTTAACATTTGACAACTACGGAATTTAAAAGTTAATATATTTTTTTTCGTTTCAAGATCAAGTCGGTAAAAAAGTTAAGTTATTCTACTTACACGGTGTTTACCGCCTTTCAGTTTTCACTGTGGTTGACTTTTAGTTATTATTTTTTAAGAACTAAGTCTTTTCAATTCGTTAAAGTAGTTATTATCGCCTAGCATTATTATTAATTTAATTGATTGATTGAAAAAAAAGAAAAAAAAATCCCCAAGTATTGCAAGTACATAAAAAATGGCATTAAGGGTGACTGTTGCCCGATTAAACATTAAGACAGTATGCACCGGATCGTATTTGCATCGGATCAACAGTTCATTCATCCGGATGAAACATTTCAACAGCGAATCACCAATCACTAAACACACCAAACAACGTATGAGTACAAAACGTGTAATAGTAAATGGAGTTATAATCGGAGTTGCTGCTGGAGTTGTGTATTCTTATTTCTCGGGTTTCGAGCGAAAGTTGCCTGGTTCTATAGTAAATACTTCAGTACAAATATCAGTATTAAAACAGTTACCTTCTGATTTGAAAATCTCTCGTAAAGTATGGAAATATTGCTTTAAGTTTCATTTGTATATAGTTTTTATGTGTTGTTGTATTTATAATTTCAGGTTGGTCATGATGACGATGAAATTGCTGATCTTATCTTATTTCAATATCCAACTTGTCCATTCTGCTGCAAAGTACGAGCATTTTTAAATTACATGAAGGTGCCCTATGATATAGTTGAAGTAGATCCTATGCTAAAACAGCAAATTAATTGGTCAAGTTACAAGAAAGTTCCGATTTTATTGGTAAAAACAATTAATGGATACCAGCCACTTACTGACAGCACGATGATTGTGTCTGCATTGGCTACCTATTTTAAAGATAAAACTGTTAATATTGAAGAGATTGCAAATTTTTATCCACCAGTGTCATTCGTTGATGTGGACGGAAAAAGAAAAACAGATATAATGAACAAATATTTTGTCATGGACCAAGATGAATCAAATAAAACTAAACAATTAAAATACGAGTAAGTAATAACATGTAAACTTAAGGAAAATTGAAGGTATACATATTTTTTTGTTAGTAATGAAAGACAATGGAGGCAATGGTCAGACGATGTATTAGTTCATGCACTTTCCCCGAATGCTTACCGTTCTCTGTCCGAAGCTATAGATTCATTTCAATGGTTTTCAGTAGCAGGAGAGTGGGAGAAAAATTTCCCTTTTTGGGAAACAGTTCTTATGATTTATGGAGGTGCTTTCATGATGTGGTTAATTAGTAAAAAATTGAAGAAAAAGTAAATACTTAAAGTTTCAAATGATTAAGCATAACTTACTACCATTAGTTCATTTTTACAGGTATATGTTGAATGATGATGTTCGTCAAACACTTTATGATGAATGTGATATGTGGGTGAAAGCTGTGGAAGAAAATGGTGGAAAATTTTTGGGTGGTAGTAACCCTAACTTGGCTGATTTATCAGTATATGGTATTCTTTCAAGCATCGAAGGTTGTGTGGCATTCAAGGATGTTCTAGCAAATACTAAAATTAATAATTGGTTCAGTAATATGAAAACAGTTGTATAATGTTACTATTTTTTTTGGAAATATTAATTCAATCATGTATTAAATGATGTAATGAATCAAATTGATTGTATTTCACAAACCAAATTGTTTTTTCTATCATATTAATCACTTTTCTCCACATCAAGGTTACTGTAGTCTGGATATTATATTATTCCATCCATAAATGTGATGCTTACAATATTTTGTGTTGTTGCTATGTGTTTTTTATTTAATCTTATGTTTTAAGAAAGTAAGTTGTCTGGTCAAATATAATAATTTTTAATAAAATATTATTTTCTTAATAATTTATTTAAATAATTGGATAAAAATTGAATAGTTACTATTTGATAACTAACAGGTTAATCTTAGATTATTTAGTATTACAATTTTTTTCAATAATATGGTGAAATGCAATTTTTCATTGATAGTAATATAAATATAATTAAACAATTTAAACCGTAAGATCTATTTATCTAATAATTGTTGTAATGGTTAATAAATTTTCTGCTTGTTTATAAATATTTGTCTTCATTTTTTTTTAATAACTTATAAAATCAATTATAATACAAATAAAGAATACAATAAAACTGATATGAAATAGAATAAAATAGCTATTTTTATAACTACTGGAGTAAGTACCTAGCATAGGGTAGAGCAAGTAATTTCCATTGGAGTCCAGAAGATAAAAATAATTTTTATTGTTAAAGATTTTGGTATATATTTCAATCCCTTTCTTGATTTCAATCACCAAATTAATGCCTATAAAGCATTGAGTCTTTAGTTTCATGGAGCGTAATACTAAAATGTTTAGCTCTGTCCATTGTCTTCAAACACTACTTGTTTCTTGTGCACACTATTATAAAATATCGTATAATTTGGCAACCCTACTTAGCATAAGACCAGCTAAGACTTCAAAGATTCTAAAATAGGTTTCTATCATATATCTCTTTCTTACTCAAAAACGAGCAACTGCAGCATGAGTACTCATCTGTGCTTTTAAAGCTAAACATTCCCACACTTTCTTTTCAATAGATGCCCCAGATCTTTTCTCTATTAATTTCCTTGTTCCAATCTACCCTTCAAGACATCATGCACTCTTTCTTATCCCTACTCACTCCACCTTCAATGGTAATAAGCATCCTTTACACTGCATGTTTCGTTGTGTCAATAATGCCATATAGATCATTCTGGATCTATTTGCTCTCTTATTTATTTGTATAAATACAACTATATTTTTAATACTTCATTTTATTCTTAATTATTCTAGTTTTTAGCTATTTAATTTTTATTTAATTGGACTGTTATCAATTACCTAATTTATGTACTTCACATATGTAAAAATAATTAATAAATGAATTCCAGAGAAAAAATGTATTTTGTTATTAGACAACTGTAAAATATATACATATATATTTTAAATAATAAGAAAAAAAATTAGAAATAGAAAAATAAGAAATTATCGTTTTAATATAATAGATTTATCAGTTTATGTAATTTAAAGTAGACAATAACAAACTAATATGAAATAAACATATATTTTCAGAAAAATTCTTATAAATGTTTCATTTTTTAGCAGACTTCTTTAATCTTTTAGAATTAATTGACTGTTGTTTTCTATAACTCCTGATATATTTTTTGTATTCTTTTTTCCTTAGCCAAGTAGGGTGTTGAACTTTTTTTGTAGTTTTAGGTACCAAAGTTTTGTCAATTTTAGATTTTTCTTCTTTTTCCAACTGCATTTTTTCAGCTTCTTCATTCTTAGCTTTAACTGGAAAAAAGCACAATAGTAATTAAGTATATATTGAAAATAGTTTGAATAAAATACACTTCCAATGATAAATCACTTGAAAAATTTCAAAAGAATACTGATAACTACAGAAGAAAAAAAACCTTTATTTTTAGATGGTTATTTAAATAATAATGTAAATAAAAACTATAAGTTCTTGTACGCACAATAATGCAATACGAAATGTCTTGTTGAAAAGCAGTAAAGTTAAAAATTGTACAATCTATACACTTAAGGCAAACCAAGCACTTCAAAACTACAACAACGATGGAGAATATCATAAGAAAAATAACGTTGATTTCGAGGCTGCGTCCGTGCCGAGCAAATGAGTAATGACACTGTATCGGACAAATAATACAATGTACGGTGAGTAATAATAAGGGATAACTACCGAGGCAGACGTGTTCGATTTCACCGTCTTCCTTGACTTCGATTTCCCCGGCGTTCACCAGCATCGTCTTCAACCTGTCCAATTCCTTCACGCCGTATCGGATTCGTTTGATAGCCCTCATCTTTCTGCGCCATTTGCTTCTGATACTCTTAGCCATTACGGTGTCGTGCGAGAAATCAACGAACGTAACTGCAAAGGGCACGAAAACACGTGAGCGAAAGAACAACAATATGTTTTCCCTTGTCAGTCGTCAGTTATCAATATTGTTATTATTGTCAACGGTGTGACCGTTATGCAAACTTGTTTTATAACCGTGCACCGTTCGGTCGATCGTTTTTTATTTATCTTCCGCCGAATCAAATCGCTCATCGATCGTACGAAGAACAAACGAAATTTTCAACTACAAAAAACATTTCCGGAAGCGTTTTAGCGGTTGGTGTGTCGCAGTACCGAAAAGATTGGAAACCGTTCGGGTCGGTGCACGAGTATTTCTTCTTGCGCTGTTGGTCACGTTCTTTCGCAGTTGGACGTGTCTACACGCGTCGCGAACGTGCGTCGGACCAACACTCAGTTCAGTGATAACACGTTGATACAGTGTCGAATTGTGTCATCGTGATATTGACTAGCGACACGAATATTACATAAAATAAAAATAAAATGTCGGAACACGAAAGGATTATTTCGTTTCAATAATATTCCGACAAGTCAAAAGCAAATTGATTCATTCGCTAGGCCATCCATCGGTCACCACGCAGAAATCAATAGAACGCGACTACTGCAGAAATGGTGGTAAGGGTATTTACTGTAACTGTTTTTTCGTGCTCTCCGAAAACTGTTCAATAGAAATAATACGATTGGTTTCCTCTATCAGGCTCCCCCGAAAGGCAAGACTGGCACTAAAGGTCAGAAGCAAATCCTAGAAGAGAACGATGCTACCTTGAAGTTTTACAGAAACATGATTGGAGCAGTTAGTGCCATATACATTGTGTTCAACTTGGCTTTTGGAAATATTTTTTCACTCACAAACATAGTGCGTTAAGTATTAGTACTGTGTAATTCTATTAAACCGAGCTGCTTTTGAACAAGTTAAACATGGTTAATTGCGTTAGGGTTCAAATTTAGTGAAATATTTGTCAAAAATAACAGAACACTTACACTTTATTGATATTAGTTCAAAAAGTGTTGAAAGCTAAGATTTTTTACTGTCCTTTTTTTTAATTTTTCTCAAGGCTAAACCTTGTCATTGAAATCACTCTTTCATATCTGTTTCCTAGCTATTTTCTTAATTTAATTAAACGATACAATACATTGTGTTCTGGATGGTTTTAAAATATTGTTTTCGAGGGTATTTCCTTGATTATTTCTTATACCAGGCACTTAATAATTCAACTTTTTTTTTCAGTTTCTTTATGCTCTTGTTGTAATATCTCATGGTGGAAGTTATAAATTTATGGCATACATGTCAACAGCTAAGTACAGTGAAAGTGGTAAATTACTTGACGCTGGTACAGATCTCAATATGGAAGGAGGCTTAGCTGAGTAATTATATTATAATATTTTGTTCAATAACAATTAATAGTTACAATATAAATGTAATGTATTTAAATTTCAGGTATACAAAGGATTTGATTATTTTAACATCAGGCTGTCAATTATTATCAATTATTTCCAATTACTTTTGGCTTCTATGGCTCCTAGTAAGTAAAAGCATTATAAAAATGCTTTGAAATTTAATGAGATATAATTTTTATGTTCTAATTTTATTTTTTTTTCATGTATTTTTATTTTCAATTTATTTTATTTTGAAATGTCTTAGGTTAGTTATGTATGAATTGAGATTTACATAGTAGCTTATTTTGTTCTATTTTACTCCAGAAATTAGATTTTGCTATATAGAATCTTATTGAATTTCTCTATTAGAGTTATAGGTTATTCATCTTGTGTTAATTGGGTTGTTATGTTGAAGATTTATAGAATGACTTTCTAAACTGTAATTTTTTTGTTGTATCTTTTTTAGCATTTTTATTAATATCATTTTATTGTCTAGATTCCTATGTCTTGAAAAATCTTAAAATGTTCATTGCCTTTTAATATCTTTATATTATATGTTCTAAAAAATTATCTTTCATATTAGTATTCATTATTTTTTATCAATCAAAAGTCAATTTTATAAAAATGTAAAATAAAAACATTTAGAAATGTCAAATTAAATACTTCTTCTATTAGCTCATCTATTAGTCTCATATCCTTTTTTACGGTGTCTTTCCATCCTGTTCTTGGTCTTCCAAGTGGGCGTTTTTTATCTATTTTTCTTATCAGAACATTTTTTAATACATCTCCATCAGCTCTACATACATGTCCTAGCCACTCTAGACATTTACACCTTATATATGTGAGTACATTTAGTTTTTCATACAGGTCATACATTTCTTCATTGTGCCTCTTTTCATAAATTCCAAGGTTATCGTTGTACACCGGTCCATATATATTTCTTAATATTTTCCTTTCCCATATAGCAAGTTTTCTATTGTCATCTTTTGTCGTAGACCAAGTCTCACATCCGTAGGTTACTATTGGCCTAAGATAGCTTGTGTACAGTGTAGTTTTTGAAATACAATTAATTATTTTTTATTTGAAATTTATCTTTTTACAGGCACCAGGTCAAGCATTTTGGGTTGCATGGAAAAACTTTTTAGGACCATATTTTATGCAACGATCACCTGAAGAGGCATCACCAGAAATCAATGAAAAAAAACAAAAGAAGCTAGAAAGGAGGAAAAAACGACAACAAAACGTGCGTTATTAAGGGTTATCAAAGAAGTATTACTTTTTTTTTTTAAAAAAAATTTAGATTATTTTTTTATTGTTCTGTTATTGAGTTTTGTTTTGTATTTATAACATTTTTATATAGATGAATATTGTCAGTAATTTAATTAATATTTGTGTTCAAATGTTTTAAAAGCTAGTATCAAAAAAGATCTATAGGGATTTATGCTTTTGAAGAACACGCTTAAAACAATTATTTTTTCTAAGTCGTCACTCCTAATGTAAAATCTTAAACTTCCGAAACTATAAGTTAAGAAACATTGTGTAACATGGCCTAGTTTCTTATCTTTCATGCTCAAAAATATATTACTATAAGTGAAATGATTGATGATATGTCAAATAATTTGTAACAACTGTGACTAATTGATATATTTTGTTATTGAATAGAATTATGCTTGTAAAGCACTTATTTAGACAATGTTTATTGTATTTATGTATACATTGTACAAAATAAGCACACATGTATAATAAATAATGAAATTTTCTAAGAAAAACTTGTCAATTTTACTTACTTTTATTTTCATATTTTGGCCCCTAGTGGCCTAGTAAGTTATAAAAATTAAATAATATTACTTTATCAGTTTTCTTGAGTTATTATAATAAATATTGAAGGAACAACTCAGTGTTTTTTAAAAGTTTAAAATGCGACCCAATAGTAAGCAGCGTTCCATGGTGTAGGAGCATTTTAAAAGTAACGTTGACAAAATTATGGTTAATTGTAAAATTTGTTAAAGAAATTTAAATTCTATGGAAATACTACTAACTTAAAAGATAAATATAAAATAAATATTAATTTCTTTTATATTGAATAGTAATTATAAAATAAATGTGTATGAAAAAATCATACTCATTCTAATATAATTAATATAATTTCTTATATTAAAGTGCCCTTCCAGTCCATTCGCACATTAATGCATTGTATGATTAGTATATATATTATTATATTGTTATTTATCTTATTTGTTTTTAAAATGAGCTCATAAAACGGAAACATCCTACTGCACTTATTATTCCTGATTCTACAGAAGACGATCCAGATTCCGAATTGTATTCCATTGAGTCTAATATTAACTTATCGAATTTTCAATCTTCTCCAACAAATTTTAACTTACAAACTGAATCTTCTAATTTAAATCAACCTTTAGCTAAACGCTCGCGTCAACTTAAATTATACAGTACAACAAAAAGTAATGAACTTACTGTCGCAGAAAATGAAATGAAATTGAAATTTGTCAAGTATAAATGATAATCACCGATTATCAACCCTTGTCAATAGTTAAAAATGTTGGCTTTTTATAATATACAAAAAAATTAGAACCACTTTACACTATTTCGTGCACATACAATTATTCGACGTTCGACTACTAAACAGCTGATCGATATTGTCTTCCTCACTGGAGACTTAAACGCCTGGTTTTCAAGTTGCTTTAATATTAAATTCGTGCTGTTTGAGTTTCTGATTGTTTCTTACAAGGCGCTTCCATATTATTGTTATGACTAAATACATACTCGTAATATTTTATTAACTTATTCTGTACGATGGGTAGCAATGTTGATAACCTAGTAACTGAGCTTAGTAAATGGACTAAACCAATTTTCATTGAGTTTATTAATAAAAATACGTCAGCGTCCATTAAGCTTAGTAATGGCTTACAATTGTTTTTATATGGAGTACATACTAGCAAGCCTGGGCATTAACGAGTAAATAAGTTAAAAGTTAAGTTTATTAAATTTATTACATTATTAGTAAATTAACTTATTAACTCATTTTCTTACAGAGTAACTGTAAATCAAAGTATTATTTTTTCATTTATTTTGATTTTCAAGACCAGAAAAATATTTTTGTAAAATACGGCGATCGATAACAAGTTCATGGAATTTAGAAAAATATAAAATTAAAAATATCGAAGAATTTTTAGGTAAGAACATAATATTTATTACGATATTAACTAATAATAGGGGTGATAAGCTGATCGGCTCTCGAACCTTTGTAACCCCTAGAGCCCTCCCTAAGGAGGAGGGTAGTCAACGCATAATGCATTATACATAAATACATGCTATACACTATATCTTCCCAACTTTTATATCTATAAATATTATATTTTTATAAGAAAATGGATGTGCTTTTGTTCCATTTCAATGTTTCGTAAAGTAATACCGTCGATTACAAGAACAAGAGCCGTTTTGTTTTATGATGCAGAGACTTCACAAAAAGGATTTTTACGCTACATCTCAAAAACGACTAGGTACATTTATAAACTTGAAATTTGACGCAGTGGTCTCTCCAACACTCGAAACATGCAACAAGAAGGGATTTTAAAAAATATTAGCACCGGCAAAGACGGTTGTTCATTGATGCGAACCCGAGTAATTCGGCGCACTATAAAATGTTGCTTGAATACGTATAAGCTATAATTCGTCTTAATCGCAAAGATTTGAAATCAATTAGACTTTCACCGCTTTTAAATTTTTTTCGAAACGCGCTCGCGTTAAAAAAAAAAAAAAAAAAAACAAGGAGCAAAATATGTTATGAGATAAATATGTTTGTGGAACGAAATCGGTTTTAATCGGACGGGAACGATCTAAAAAAATAACCGTGCACACTTCTTCTCGTTCGATTTCGAAAACGTTATTCCGATTAATCGCACGCGTCGCCGCGTATAAAAATAGGTAAACTTAAAAGGTATGTGGTTTTTTCGTTCTCCACTGGCAACCTAACCTCGTGCCATCCGACGGCGGTCGTGTCTTGCGGACCCGGTCGGCACAACCTGTTCGATTGCGGTGCACGTTAGCCTTGGCGTTTCGCACGCACCGCGGCAGTACCGGTTCTACCGGCGCGTAATAACGTGTACGCTTATGTGCTCACACCACGGCGGCCTAGACCCATTTCCGAGGCGTACCTCCTACGCGCCCACCGGGACCGCGCGGTTTCGGATCCGTCGATCACACACCACTCGCGGACCTTTCGGAACGCGCGCGCGCCATTTCGGACCCGTCGATCGCAATCCACTTGGACCGTAGCGTCCTGCGATCGCATCCTGTCTCCAGTCCCGGGGATCCACACCGCGCCCTGCCGCCCGTTTTGCCACAGCGGCGCACACGTTTCCGGTAAGTCGAACCATCGTTAATCGCAGTCACCGGCGACGCAAGACCGGCAGTGCGCGCACATAAATCTGACCGCCGTTTCACCGGGTCAGGGTACAACGTTGTACCTTCGGCATCTCGCTTAAAAGTTTACGTTTCGGTTTCCATTCCGCCGTCGTGGGCATCCACCGTCCGCTTGTCAAAACGTACCAACGAAAACCGTCCTCTGACGTCCTCCGAGGTGCGTTTCCCACTGTTGTGTCGATATCCTATAAAACGGATATTGGAAAAAGGTATTATTTCGATATTCGTACCGTAAGTAGTATTATTTTCTCCTTTCGATCACATTGAAACTTCCACACGACCAAGTGCCACGGGCAATGAAAATCGTAATGCAGAGGGATTCGTCGAATAGAAAGTCTCGTTAAATGGATGTTCGTTATACGAAAGTTTCATTGTACTTCAAACTGTTGTTTACGATATTACGATAGAATCAATTGTTATCGATTTCCTAACAAATATAATACATACTCTTTACGGCAAATTCGTAAGAAACTATTTCTTCTATTCGCGTATTCGCAATGAATGTTCTGTTGATAACATATCTTCAACTTAATATTCCACGTTCGCACGCTTTGTAACGAACAATGTAATAAGTTTACGCTATTGTTATATTTTCTTCTATTTTTAATTTTATACCATCTTTCATGATTAATTGATAATTGTGAATACTATCTAACTAATATACTTTGGCCAAAGAGAGCCAATTATTTATTATAAATATCCATCGACTATGTCACTACTAGACTGTGTACATGGAATGTTTTCTTGATTTATTTACGTTTACGCGAATATTTTATATGACAAAAAAATTATAGGTGTTCTATGAAGATTTATCGATTAAAACACTTTGTTGACAACTACAAAGTTTTAAAATGCATTTTAAAGAATATCATTTTCAGAATAATGATATGATACTTGATATAACGAAATTAGCCAATACAAAAAGATTCACAGATATGTATGATAGTAATTGACAAATGAAACTACAAAATTCTTGTATGGTTTACCAGTCGGATTTTTAATTTAAAATTTAGAGTAAATTTAAGTAAAAATTTATTTTTATTTAAAACATATTATTACCAATCTGTATTTATTTTAATTTTATTTTTGTTGTAAATTTGAGAATAAAATAAAAAATAAACATGGAATATATGAGTTGGACCACCAATGTCCCTCTGATGTTCATGAAAGTTAATTAACAGTCAGAATTCAAGAAATTTCGACATCAATGTTTTTTTAGTCGATTGAGAGGGGTAGATTTTTTGGTAAGGATTCGCTGGCTAGGCTAAATAGTCTTTAAATCACAAATCGCACAGTTCGATTAATATAACATTGCATTAATTTTGAGTGTTGTGGATTTTATATTGGTATAATATTTGTTACATAAATCACAGTGTAGTCCACGTTACACAATATTATGAGAACAATTTTATAGTACTTAATGTTGATAATGTCACAGAATAAATTTAATTAATTTAGTGGTATAAATATTATATAGTTTGAATTGTTAATACATTCTGTGGTGTCCACTTTTATAATTAGACTAATCTAACCACTTTATCTTGTTTTGGTGGAAGAAAAACGAAAAAGTCGATACCGAACTAAAAATGGTATTTTTTCATTACGTCCAATAAATCAAAATGCACAAGAGAAATATATCTTTATAGTAATATAAATAATACACAATTTTCTACAACTTTTCTTTATAACTATTTATTTATATACGTTCACGCATTCTACTCCACATTCCACATTCAGATATTTCGGATGATATTAGGAAAATAAGAATTAAAATATAACCCTAATTTTACAACGGTCTTGTAATGATAAATGTTGTTATTGTTAATTATTTGTATCATTTAATATTATTACACAAAAAATATTATATTGTAATTTAGATTTAATTTTCATAGTTTGATCATAGGTATATATTAATTTCCAAAAGATTTTGAGCGAAAACGACACAGAAAATGTATGGTAAATTATAATCAAATAAATTAGTGTTTTAAATTTTATCTCATATCACTTTTTAGGGTCAAAGGTTTGTGCTAAATATTTTATGTAGTCTTAATATAGTTAAAGATATAATATGTAACATACTCATTACATAGTACATATTTCATGAATATTAATTTTGAAATCGTCTTGTTTTAGTTTTCTTGGCAAATTTTAGAGGAATATCATTAGAAACTCACAAAAAATAATTAAATTTCTATCGATTTAATTTAATTTAAAATTTAATATTACTAAAATATAGATTGATCTGCAGAGCAAATATTTTTGTTAATTTTATAACAACAAGTATTTATACATTTTATTGTTGATCTAGTTCAGGTACAAAATTAGTAAACAAGTTTTATTCGATGGCGTAACAAATAAGTTCTAAATGGAGTTATTGAGTAATTCCGATTAAACCGTTTTCAATATATAATGATTGTAAACGTAAATATACTTAAATGTCTTTAGTTCACTATTACACGTTTCTAATAAATGATTTCAATGATTTCAGTGGTGTCTTTAGTTCACTATTACACGTTCGTAATAAACTATTTTAAATGAGTTCAGTTGGTTCGAAAAATTCCTTTCATTATGGGATGCATTTAACAATAATTTTTAAATAACTAAAAAAATTATAAAAAATTTTACATTGAATGTCATATAATACATTTATACTAAAATCTTAAGAAAGCATTTCTTAAAAATATCAAAAGTTGTCTGTATCGAAAGGAATAATGTAGATGAAATGAATTTTGATGATGGTTACTACAACAAGTTAAAATTTGTTCTTTCTAACGTTGATACAACGAAGTAATAGTTTTACATGATCGTGCTAAACGTATACAAATAATTATATATAATAATAAAGAATCCAGTTTATTGCTGTTTTTAATTATGATTATTTAGGGTGGCTGCATACGAATTGAGTTCCAACATAACCTTTTATGACGAATTGAGCCCCGGGTTGTTTTAAGATACTTACTAATTGAGTCCTTGTTTTAATACGAATTAAGTCCCGTCAAATTTAAAATTAAAAAAACGTGTGCACGCTAGGTCTTAGAATGTAAAAACGAACACTTTCAGACTGAGCAGATTTTATCGTTTTCGTGAATGTTTTGACAATGTTTTGTCTAATATTTCTAGTTGTGTGTAATATGTCAAGTATATAAACATAGTATAGAATGCCGACGACAGTGAAACCCGTTTGATCACATTTTACTTGAAAACCGACTACTTTTTCGAACATGTACACACAGTTTAATATATCTTGTAACACTCATAGTAATATACGAACTCGTTTGTGACCACGAGCGTAAGAAATAACTGATACGAGTGTATTTCGGCAGTTTGTGCGTAACGTTTTGAAACCGTGACAATTAAAATATATACAGCGAGAACACTATCACAATATATTATAGTACCTAGGTTTCTTCTATATATTTGTCACTCGTCAAAAAGTGCTAATACTTTTAAATCGAATGCGTACACCTATTTAAGACGGTAATGGTCTTAATATACTTATTTATTGTATGACGTTTTCCTTGAAGCTGAAGACGAAAACTATTTTCTGTTTGTATAAATTTTTTTTTACGAGCGGTACAAAATATCAGTTCTATCTGTACTTCGTATAATTTTATCAGTCGCTATTTTTGTTTTCATTTTATTATTATATAGCTACGACTCATAACTATACGTTCATAAGTTACAATTTGTGAATAAATAAAAATTAAAAACGAAGTTGATTAAGTCAAAATGCATGAACTCAGCGTCTTTCGTAAGTAACATAACATATACACACGATGTAAATCGTTACTTCAAGAATATTGCTTAGAAAATTAGGTAACACAATTGATGATGACATTTTTTAAGTCTTTTAAGATTAAATTTCCATAAATACTGGTTTACTTAAATAGTTATTGCACACACATTTTTTTTTTTTTTTTTTTTGTTCTACTGAACCTTAAATATTATATCTTATGACTTATACCAATCAGTATATTATATTACGTTGAATATGTATTTCAATTTTTAATAATTTTTATAATATTTAAAAAAAAAAGATCGATTTTAATGTATAAACTGAATGTTATTATTGTAGTTCATCATAGTGTCCTGAATTGAATTGAATAGTAATCCTCTTTTATAATTATAAATAGTGATTACTAAAATTTCTTTATTTTTTATTATGGTCCTATTGTGTGCAAGTTCCATCATTAGAGCAACGATTGCTGACACAACTGTGAACGTTAACGTACACTCTGAAGATGGACCCTACTTTTGAAGTACATAATTTACATATATATAATTAATGTTTTATACGTTATTATGTCAGGAAAATAAAAATATTTTTTATTTAATGAAATGATTAAATAAATTTTATGATTCATAGTTGTAATAACGACGTGCAATTTTCGATAATTGTTCGATTGTTTGGTCTTAACTTTTAAAAAAGAGTAAATATTTCCCATAAATTTGTTTTAAAATCTGTAATAGTCTAGTTTATTTTATTAAATAAACCATTCTATTGTTAAGTAAATTGTAGTTAATTTAAGGCAATGAGTTTATTTTTATTCAGCTAATGACTAATAATTAAATAATAATTATTGTATTGTTTAATAACAATGTTCGTCCATTAGATTTGTTTTGTTGTTATTATACAGTATTATTTAATATATAACATGTAATATTATACATTACTTTGTATTATAGACATTTGAAGTAGATCGTGATAAAAATGAATTATTTGGTGGAAATCAAACCAACATAAGCTAGTAAATGTTAAATATTGAAGTACAGGTAACTATTATTAGCATAAATATATATATATAAATATTTATTTTTTTTAAATCGTAGTATTATTTTTGTAATAATATTTTCCTACAAATAGTAGAAGCTGTTTTTATTATTAAATATTCACTCTTCTATTTAATCCCATTCGAAAGTAATTGAGAACGTTCTCACGG